AAACACAAATGGTAATTTAAAATGTGTTTTTTTTTAATTATAATTCAACCGCAAATATCATCTATTGTTGATTGATAAAAAGATCAGGCTTCAAAACGTAATACATCTCCAAATTAAAACATTTCTGTGTTAAATATTCATAAAATAATGCCGAATGTATTGTAATGCTGAAAACCAAATAATAATAACATTTTACAACCATCAAAAATAATAGTTCACGTTTTTGGAACTCACAGTATTACTTTCCATTGAAATAATATTTAATAGATTCAAGATAAAATTGCTGATAAAGCTTTAATCAAAACCAGAAAAATTATTTAGTAAGCTAATAGTGCCATTTAACTCTCAACAGAAAATTAAAGAAGACAAAAACATTAATTGAATATTGGTAGAAAGGGAAAACTGTTGTAGTTATGTCATCAGCGCAATACCATTTTGACTTTCCGTATTATCTAAAGTTTTTATCAATCTATTTCTACGTAAGCATCATCAAGAACTTCTTTACTTTTATCCCATTTAAAGTCCACTTTTCGGGTCATCAACATATTACCAAATTGCCATAGTTTTATTAAAATAACTATAATTTTTCAAAAACAAAATTTTAACTGAGCCATAATAAACTAATAAAAATAGTAATTTAAAATGTATTTTTTTTTTTTTATAATTTAAACACAGATAGCATCCATTATTGTTTGATAAAAAGAGTAATCTTCAAAATATAATACGCGCCATATTTTAACACTTTTGAGATAAATAATCGTTTATAAAGTCTAACATATTATAATGCAGAAACGCAAATCATAATAACATTTTTCAACAGTCAAAAATAATAGTTTACATATTTGGAGCTCACAGTATAATTTTCCTTCTAAGTAATATTTTATAAATTCATGATAAAATTTCTGATAAAGCTTTAATCAAAACCACAAAAATATTTCCTTAAGCTAATAGTCTCATTTAACTCTCAATACATAATTAAAGAAGTCAAAAGCATTAATTGAATATTGGTAGAAAGGGAAAACTTGTAGTTATGTCACCGGCGCAATGCCATTTTGACTTACCACATTATCTAAAGTTTTTACCAATCTCTTTCTACGTAAGCATCATCAAGAAGAACTACTTTACTTTTATCCCATTAGTAAAGCAATCCCCATTAGTCAAAGCGCCGGCTTCACTCAATAAATTACATTAAAAATGTTTCAGCTTAAAATGTTACACCTTTATATTTATTCTCGGATGTCTTTACAAGATCAAGTGATGAGTCTCGAATATTATTATATTCACGAAGTGAAACATAAATTATGTTTTAGTTTAGAGACATAATTTTTAAATCCTTCTCCCTTTCAATGATTGGCGATTTTTCGCATTGACTGGAATTTAAAATTAATAATTCAAATGTTAATGGTTTGATGGTGGCATGAAAAAATGTTTATTAATGCTTCGTGCTATTATTTTAATCTTTATATTCATCTTTGAATAACGGATATAAAATGTTCCATAGTTCTGGATAATTTGACTTGCTATTCATTTCTAAAAGAATTGTTGTATTGCTTGAAAATTTTGGGATTAATGCGTAAGGATTATATGCAGATTTAAATAATAGCAATAACATGTAGTTATTAGTAATTCCAAATAACTAAACACGTATCCTCGCTTTTTACCCTTTGGCAAAATTCGTATTGTTTAGGGTTTGATGGCATGCGCACCTTATTTGGAAGTCATCACACTTTTCAACTATGTTCAAGAGTAGTAGTAAACAGTGCGCATGCGTCGTCATTGCATGCGTTGCTATGGCAACCGCTGCTGTTTGATAATTTTTTTAACATTCTTTTTTCCCCTTTAATTTCGTTATGCACTAAGTTGGTGAGTTTATTATTGAGATATGGGACCAGAGAGATCCCATTAATACTTATTAAGTTGTGAATAAGAGAGAATTTCATCATTTGAATGATATTTTTGTTTTTATTGTTTTAATTAAAAATCATAAATTCTAACCTACAGCTCAAACTGCATCATTTTCATTACTAATTCAGGTAAATATCACAAATAAAGAGCGTAAGTAAAAAATAATAATAAAATGAAAATAAATTAGACAACAACCATTTTGGTAATGGGTAACCTGTGATCTCCGAAAGGCGATCTCAATTTTTTTATTATATATTTTTTTATGGCCTTCCGTCACCAATATTACAAAAAATAATATTTTATGGTTTGTCACGTTTTGATTCGATCTTTTGCTTTAAATCTTTTTTCTTTCAAGAAAAAGGAGCGACCTTTTAAAAGAATGCTAGGCACAATTGGGCTATAAACGAACTTTACTTTATGCCCCGTTAAAAAAATTTTAGTGCATCTTGAATCATGAAATCGTTCAAACTTGCTGCACCATTAATATAGTGCTAAGTTAAACCATATTACCCTTTACGTATTATTACTTTAGTTCAAATTCCTGGTAAAGTTACAAGAAATTTACATCGTATTATACTTCAAGGTAATGATCTTATACACTATTAAAATATTCATTCGAACACAATGGTAGAATAACCTGCAACAGCCTGCCTATCCAATTAACCGTAAAGTTTAAGGAAAATATTTTTTTTACTTTTGCGGTTTTGAAACCGTTTACAACTGGTGAGTTTAAAAAACCATGAATATAAAGCTAAACGATTTTTTAACCACTTACCACTAACATGGTTTCAAATCCATAAAAATGAGGAGCCAGGCCTTCAGTTAGTTAATGGACATTGGGGATAGGTTGTGGTTGACTTGTGTTTTATTATATGGTCAGTGGAATGTGGTTTAATTAGTTTACCTGGTTGTTTCACTTTTTGGGTTAAGCAACTTTTTGATGCCGCCATCTATGCGTGAGTGAGACTATCATATTTTAATAGTCCAGGGTCACAAATTGAAAAGACCAAGACACTGGAAACACTTCATGTGTTGAAGGGAATGGAGGAAATATTGCGGTTTCAACGCTGGAACTCATAGCCCCATTCTGTCGTTCATGAGATTGACAGATTAGCCTTCTCGCTATAACATGTTCCCAGCAGCTGCAAAAAACCAAGTGGCTTCGTTAGGTGGGCCTTCTTAGTGCGAAGAAATTCGGGTTTTTTTAACCGCATTAGTTGGAAGCAGTTAATGAACGGTTTTTCTCTCAGTTAACAGTCTAAATACCATCTTATTTATGGGTATGCGACTGTTTTGTTTAAATATGGTAAAATAACAATTATATAAATTGTTATTTAACCATTTTTCCAAGAAATTTCTGACAGTGTGGTTCAGCGATGAACTGATTTTTCTTAGATTGCACTAGAAATTTAGTTCTTGGTTTGCCAGCTGTAGGGGAGAGTTTGTACTCAGAACCCATTTACTTATTTTATTCATTTTATGCGGAAAGTAACGATTCGATTAAATCAAAAAATTTATGGGAAATACATCATACGTTTGTCTATTAATATAATATTTTTATAAACAAAATCTGCCTTAAACTACCGATTAACAAATATTTTTAAAGTAGGAAAAATAGGTCAAAGGTATAACATGGTGGTGTACTTCGGACCTTATGTTATAGTGCTATTATTTCATTGAATAACACTTAATTTGAATTTTTTTTTTTTTTTTTGGAGCTTGGAAATTCATGCAATCAAAACATATTTTTCTAGTAGTCTGATATAGCTGAAATAAATTAAGTCATATACGCAATATCAAGGAATATTTTATTGAAATATTGCAAAAATGTATACTTTTGCTAAGAAAATAAAATGTTTTGCTTATTGTTAGTGACATAGTCCACAGAGAAATATAATTGTGCTAATTAAACCTGTTGTTCATACCTGGGACTGGTGCAAGGCACAAAACAGATATTGGTTCAAGATACAACATGAATACGAATTTTTAATTTTATTAGGTCTAACAAAAATAAATAATTTTTCTTTTTAAAAAAATGATATTTCATTTTTAAAAAATAATAATGACATTTTGTTGCTAATCTGCCTTAGTTTTATTTCAAATGTAGGAACTGTAAAGTTTTATTTTCCACTCAAATTGATCGAAACATTTTTCAGCAACTAAAGAAAATCAAAAAGGATTCTCTAACACGTACCTGTAAAACCTAAATAATCATCAACACTACAAATATTACCTTTTGTGACCAGTTGTTACACAAATCAGCTAGGTGCAAGAGTCTCCCATACATATGCTGCGTATTGAAAATTTATTGGAAATAATATTTAAAACGCTTTTTTTATTCCAATTTTCTTATGCTACATTTTTCTAAAATTTTGGTCACAGGTACGATTTAGAACAAGCGTTACACGATTTTTTTTTCAACAAGAGGAAAAGTGGAGGAGAAAAAAATCCTGACATGACAAATAAATCTTAACACGAAATTTTCATTGCAGTTAAAGAAAATTATAAATGGGATTTTGTTTTTTAAAAAAGTCAATAATTCTAATTTTAAATAATTCATAGTTAATATATTTCAGAATATTTTTTAAAGTATACAATTAAAGCCACCCATGAACTTATTATTGAAACAATTTAAAACAATTTTAACTTATAATTCTATATTCATTCAATCTAATTTTTCTAAATCAAAACTAATTAAGATGTTGATAGAGAATTTATACTTGTATGACTTAAATTAAAGTCTTAAAAAAAAATTCCTTTTTCACAATTTTCAACCTTCTCCGTCATACCGTTCACAAAAATTTTAAAAAACAAACTAGATTTTCTTTTTAGAAATTACATTAGTTTTTTAACTTTAGAAATCTTCGAAATATATACTTTTTAAAGAAATTGTACTTGCATATCACAGGCATTAATACTGTCTTTTATTCGAAGGGAAAACAAAAACTAAGTTTACTGAAACCTCGTAGTCAGAAGATAAACGTTCATTATTTCTAATTTCCACTCATTCGCTTTACGAAGCGTACGACAGAGAACGGCGACGAGGAAAAGTTTAAATTTGTTTCGTTAAAAAAGTGTCTTGAAAAGCGGTCGTATCATTTATCAAATAAACATTTTTATTACTCACATAAAAACATAAAATCAGCGACATTCCTGGTGTTTCCAGGAAAACTAATTATTTCAATCCATTTTTAGGTTGTTTGTAAGAATTTAGTCATGTGCTTAGCGAAAAAAAATACATGTCCCCATGTTGGTACATTTATCAAATTTATTTCTTGATTCTGAAAGCATCAGACGTAAACTATAGCAGGTGATGGGAAAGGCAGACTGTGAACGACCTGAAAGTAGCAAGGGTAGAGTTAAAAAATAAAAAAAAAGCAATGTATGTCTGAAAGTACTAAAAATCTAAAAAGAATGTTTAAAAACATTCTTTATAAATTCATAGTATTAAACGGGTTTAAAGCCGTTTTAACTTTTTGTAGTGAAATTATTAATATCTTGAATGGAATGTTAAAAACTTTCAAGATGAAGAGCTTCATACATGTCTGAAGTCTTATATTAAATTCTTATCGTAAGAAAAATTGAAGATGGATAACATTTATAGTTAAATTATAAAATATCGAAATAAAATGTTTAGTAAACATTCCTCATATGTAAGAGCTTGAAGTCACATATTAGATTCTTTTCGGAAGAAATGGCACAAATAAAATAGTTTTTTTTTTCTTAATTTTTATTCGTTTATTTTTTAAGTGAAATTCTAAAAAAAAACTAAAAAGGGTATTTAATAAAAAAAACCTCATAAATAGCTTTGCACGTGTTTGAAGTCACGTGTTGAATTCTTTTAGTAAAAAAAAATGAACAAATGAAATAATTTTTTTTTTTTAATTTCTTAGATTGAAGAGATTAAAATATCTGAAAGCAATATGTATAAAAACATTCTTCTTTAATGCGTAAACTCATGTATTAAATTCTTTTTATAAAAAAAAGGTACTAATAGTATAATTTTTTTAGCTTTTTAAATTTTTTAAAGTGAAGTTCACGTGAACTTTTACCCAACTGAAAAATCATGCACCTAGACAAAAAAAAAATTTGAGAAACTAAAAAATATTATTGAATTTTAAGAAGTATTAATTAGATAGAAAATTTGATTTGATTTGATAAGAGATTGCATTTTTAGAAGCATTATTTAGAAGAATTTTAGAAGTGCATAACTGTAGTAGCTCGGGGGATAGAGCGCTTGTCTTTTAATAACAGTTTGTCTACCAAGGACAAGTTTGTCTTCCAATTCTTTCGCATACAGCTCATGACATGACCCACTACGACCACTGTTTTGATACGAATTATAATCAGCTGTTAAAGAATCATGCTGCTGTCGAGCTAACCATGCGAAGTTTGTGAAGTTTTCTTCTCACATAACGCTACCGTGAGTAATTGTCATTCAAAAGCTCATCCACTTAGTTAAGGATTGGGTTCTTCTGGATTGGATTCAAAATTTCAAGGCTACCGATTTGAATACTGGTATTCGTAAACCCAAAATTGGGTCGGCTTTCCAACGATGGTTATGAAATTAAATACTTAACCTTGTGCTCTCTTGTCTTTTGAGTTGTGTTCAAAATTGCAAAGTATGTAGGCAAAAATGCTTGCTTTTAGTATGTAAAAAAATGTTTAACCATCATCATTTTATTACTCATTTCATGCATCCTCATTTTATTAGTCAGTTTAATTAATTGAGCATGCTTAAAGCAATCAATATACACTGAAAAAAAACATAGTCAAAACGACTAGAATATGACACGGTTTACCATATCTCTGCCTCTATGGAAACACCAAAAAATAATTACCACCAAAGGGCATTGGTAATAACTTTTGGTATGATTAACAGTAGAATGTGGTTTAATTACTGTGATTTTTGATTTTAGATGTGGTAATTTTATTATGATACCTTAGAACATAGCATGAAAACCTCTGGATCGGTGAAATTTGCATTCAATTTTGTATTTTTACTAAATGTGTGGTAATAAGAACTATAATTTTGAAAACAGGAATTTTCGGCAAACCATTACCATACGAGCCAAATAAATTGTTTAAATTTCGTATATTTTGATTTTATGACCAGAATTATTATTTTTTTACCAGAAATGTAATTAACATACAGTACGGTAATTTCACCAGATTTTTTTTTCTTCTTCTATGCATCTTATTTGATGACAAAATTGGCTTTTCAAAATAAACAGTCTATTTTGACTTCGATTAAGCTATAGAATATATATTGATTGCTTTAGATATCGATTAGTTAAACCAACTGATTAAATCTTAACAACCAATTAAATTTTATAAACTTAACAACTTAACAGCTGAAACTCTTAAGTGGGTTTTTTTTATTGAGTATTGTTCATTTTATCTCATTCTAATCTGTTTTCTTTTTGCTTGACCTTTTATTGTGCCATCAACTGTTTAGCCCTTTGACGCAGATGGTACCTAATTGTCCTTTTAAAATATTTTATTTCTGATGCTCCAATCAAAAAAAATATATTTTGGCATTTCTTTATTTAAAAAAAAAATAATCTAATAGTTATTAAAAAATATGTTAGATAATCGTGCTGAAATTAAAAATCCAAAAAAAGTATCTCGAACTTTTTTTATTTTTTTTTAAATCATGTTCAAACATTTATCAATAATTGATTTTAAAAGTTAAAAAAATTTCAATTATAAATGTTTCCCTTAGATCAAAATAACTGCAACTAAGTGCAAATTATTGTTTGAAAGTGAGTCTTGTTTGGACGCGAAAAAAGATCGGTATTTCCTGCTGTTTTTCAAAACCATAAATTATTAAAATTCTAAATATAATGTTCAATTTTTGCTTATTTTGATCTAAATTAAAGCAAAATGATGAAAAAGGCATGAAAAATACTTTTAATAAAAATTCTACGTAAAAGGGTTAAATTCTATGGATTGATTTCCTTGTGAAATCGGATGTTGAGAAAAAATTACTTCACCTAATTGTATCTAAAACATTCATTTTTAAATTTAATTTCTGAAGTTAATTTATTTTTGCATTAAAACCTATATCATATGCATGGAAAATCCCTTTTTAAAAAAAAGATAACCTGTTAAAAAAATTAAAATTGCATAAACTATAAGTTTAAAAACCTCAATTTACTGTATAAAAACAAATTTATATCAAAGTTGAACAAAAATAAACTTCCCTTTAAGCCAATTTGCATTGCACACATAAGCCAATTACTATTTCAATAATCAATTCTAAAGTGTTTTGTACTTAAGAAATCATTTTCTTAGCAAAATAAACATAAGATAAAAATCCTAAAATTCATGCAAGTGCGAGGCTGCGCTTAAATATATTTAATAGTTGCTTATCTTTCCGTAAATAAAAGTGGTAAAGCAAATAGCACTATAGTTGAAATCCCAAACTAGTCGATTTGCTTAAAATGGTATTTGCATCCTATTAACAATGCATGACATTTACGATTGTGATGAGAAAAAGCTGCAGAGTAAACTCAATGTGTTTAAATTATTTGTCCAAATTCGTTGCTTTGCTGTAAATTTCTATAATTACTATTATTAGTTTTATTTAAAACCGATTTTAAAAGGATATTGCTCAATCAAAAAATCAGCATTTTATTTTTAATGAGTTAAGTGTATCTACTTAGAGCTTTAAGAATGCACTTTTATGTAATGGTACAGTAATCACTTAAAGTTTTTAGTATTTCAGTTTTTTCACTTATATAAACACCATTTGTACACTTTGTTGAGCTGAAATTGATTTTCTATTATTTTTATCGTTTGTTTAATCACTTGATTTGTATTTGCTCTTTTTATTAACTAATCCCAACAAAACTTTTATAGACCTAAAAATATTGTTACTAAGCGAATATAAAAGAACTGAAGCAATTTTTTATTGTTAAAAATTTTGGAGCATCTTAAGTCATAGTATCGTGCAAGGTTGCTGCCACCTAAATGCGGAACCATATTATAGTACAAATTAACCTTTGTTCAATTTCATTACAGGATAATATAGTTGATGAGGCAAAATAATATTCTATTAAAGTTGCCATTTCTAAAAAAAGCAATAGTTCTGGTTAATAAAATTAAAATATGTTTAAACCATTAAACTAAATATTTAAACTATCCATCGGTAATATTTTTGTTCATATGGTAATGATTTACCATGTGAACAAAATTATAGTTCTTTTTATTATACAAGTTTAGTAAAAAAAAAAAAAAAAAAAAACCGGAAAGTAAATTTAACCGAATAAATGTTTTGCGTGACACGCTCTAAGATATGATGATAAAATTACGATTTTACCACAATTAGCAAATTTATCACATATTATAAGACCATATTCAATTATCAAGTTCTATTCGATTATCAATTTTTACAATAGTGCTTCGCTAAAACTTTTCTAGATTTTTGGGGTTCCCATAAAGCCAGAAACACGGTAAATTTTACCATATTTTGATAGTTTTGACAATGCTTTTTTTTTCAGTTTAATTAAAGCTCACTAAAAATAATTAAACTATTAAGATATGAGTTTGTTTGTTTTTAATGAGCATGGAGCCTTAGAGTAAAATTATTGTTTGGAAACATAAAAAACATCAAAGTTTTTTTTTTAAAAAATAATAGTTTTAAACAATCGAAATTTTGTTAAATTGTATAAGCCATATATAAAAATTTGCTCTTGAACCTTTATAGTTACTATAAAAAAATGACTATTTTTATAAAACACATTTTTGCCTCTTACTCTGTCATTTAAATTTCGCTAATCACCCTATAAAAGTTTCAAATCTGGGAATTTTCGGGAATAAGTTTAAATAATGGAGTATATATTCTGCCGTATTGTTTAATAATGAACACCTTGTTTGGAAATTGATTATTACTACCAAGAAAAAAAACTCTTATTACCTTAAGAATTTGCACTATTTCGTAAAATAGTTTATAATAACCTTAGTGCATAAGACAGTAAATTAAATTACGTTCAAATTACTACTCACAATTATTTAAAAGAAAACGAGTATATTAAATCCTATTTTGAAAAAAAAATACTATTAAATAAAAAATATACAAGTTTATTTATAAAAGTTATAATATACCTTATAAAAGTCTCAATGCATATCATTTTTTATAAGTTTTAAATGATCATTAAAATTATAAACGTATCTCCTTAGAATTCTTCCATGTGAAAGGAAATTATCTTAACCTTACGAAATAATATGAATATAAATAAGTTTACTGAAACATTCATCCCCTTTGAAACTTTTTTTTAATATGCAATTAACAGTGATATCATAAAGAACAATTTTTAAATGAAAATTTATTGTA